TTGGAAAAATTACTTAAAATAGAAATAGGTCTGTAATTTGTTGTATCTGTTTTCATTCCTTTCTTGAATATTGGTTTTACCTCAGATAATTTAAGCTTATCTGGGAACTGACCTGTACTGAAGCACTGATTGACTATTATACTAAGAACTGGGGCTATTAATGGTTCTGACATTTTTATAAGTTTTGTTGGGACCTCATCCCAGCCAACAGAGCTCGAATTGCTTAAACTACAATTATTAGTGTAAGTTTATGTGGTGGTATTCATCTTAAAGGCAAGTTGCTTTTCTTACTTTTCTATCAAACAAAATATACCTAATCACCAGCTGATTCCTAACTCTTTTGCGACTAGTTAGGGTTACATTACCCAGTTATCGAAACCAATCACGATGCATATTTTTGGTTTGTTTAAGACACATAAAGAAACGGAAACTGCCTCTAGGTTTACTGTTGTATGTGAATGCTCCTTTTACTATTATATACCATACATGCTAGGCTAGGGTAGACTTCCGTATCTGTTGAATAAAAAAATTTGAAGTCTACCCCTAGGCTATATTGTTTTAATCTTTTTTGCTTAGAGCAACTGACAGTAGCCTACCTGTTTTAAATCTCCAATCTCCAAAAATATTGTTTTCTATTCATTGGAACTTGCCATTGTACTTACTTATATATTTTCTGTACAAACCTATTTAGTGGGGTCGTACAGCTGCATATAGTGGCAGAATATTTCAGTTCTGGCGGAGAGGCTGCAATTTTAGGTGGTTATAGTATACAAGTTTCTGAACCTAAAACCGCCCAGACCCCAATTTTTAAGGACCTCAGCCTTCCGTAATGACGTCATCAAAATGGCAGCCGTAAGAGGATGCTGGGTCCCCATGAATTGGCTATAACGGCCGAATGCCTGAACCGATTTTTGTGAAATTTGGCACACAAGTACTTTGATAAATTATCTCGGCCCAGGTTGTCAATGGTCGAGTTTGATAAAGTCGTTTCAAAATGGCGGCCGTTAAAAGCTAAAATAAAAAATAATCTTTCAGTGTTTTGCGTTCTCAACTCCCTCCAGAGATCTGTAGCAACCTATTCACTTTCCTTGCAATCAAAGGTTGCATTACCGTCTCTGCATTTCATGGAATAGGCAAAATACCCCCACCACAGCAAACCTGCAGATTAAGTGAGTTTCAATTTCCCTGATTTGATTTTCAATTTAATCAATTTCAATAAAATTAGGTTTCATGAGTACCTAGGTTTGCTGCTACAAGGAGATTAATAAATGTGTAGAGATGAGATCACAAAACACTGAATTTTTTTTTTTTTTATTTTTGGTTTTAACGGCCGCCATTTTGAAATGACTTGATGAAACTTGACCATTTTCAACCCAGGCCGAGATAATGTATTCAAGCACTTGTGTGCCAAATTTCATGAAAATCGGTTCAGGCATTCGGTCGTTATAGCCAATTCATGGGGACCCAGCATCCTCTTACGGCCGCCATTTTGATGACATCATTACGGACGACCGAGGTCCTTAAAAATTGGGGTCTGGGCGGTTTTAGGTTCAGAAACTTGTATACTATAACCACCTAAAATTGCAGCCTCTCCGCCAGAATTGAAATATTTTCCTGCTACCCAACCTGACTAATTCCATCTTTATTTCCAGGTTATTTCCCAAGAGTAGGAGTTGAGGTTATTCCACTTCATACAAAATATTGATTAAACACTACAAATAAATCTCAAATTTAAAATCTATATATTAATTTGAAACTGTTTTTCTTTGTCATAGCTAAATTGAGAGAATGGCTGGGCGTAGAAACTCGGTAGAGGTGTCTAAAGAAAGGTCTTGGTCTGTAGATGAGCCATCAAAAGAGAAATGTGGTAAATTCCCTTGGGGCTCTGCCCCAGTGGCCTTTGAATTCCCATCCCATGTTATTCTTACGGAGGAAAAACTGGGTTTTTGTCCCAGCTAATTTGAGAGAACGGCTGGGCGTAGAAACTTGGTAGGGGTCTCTAAAGAAAGGTCTTGGTCTATAGATGAGCCATTAAAAGAGGAACGAGGTAAATTCCCTTGGGGCTCTGCCCCAGAAGCCTTTAAAGTTGCCTCTTCAAATTTGTTTACCATATGCATAATTCTACACTACTTTTTAATGAAACAGCTGTTAATACAGTAGAGTCCCGCAAACTCGGCGTAATGTGGACTGGAAGGGTGCCGAGTTTGTGAAATGCCGGGTTATCAGGAATTACGGTTAAAAATAAGAACAATAAAATCTTTAAGCTTTTTAACCGCCTTTTTTATTTATATTTATATTACAAGTTAGTATTAAGTCATCAGATATAGTACAACAAATCCTTGGTATGAGTTACTAATGATTTGACTTGAGCTGGCTTGAGTCCATGTTTAACTCGGACTCAAAAAATCACTAATTTTCTGAGCCAGGTGATGGCCGAGTTATCCAGACTGCCGGGTTATCGAGTGCCGAGTTTGCGGGACTCTACTGTATTTAAATTGTGATTTATTGAATTTGTCAAAATGAAGTAGGTACAGTATTTGCAATGGGTTTTTCTGATTTTAAAATCGATTTTATTCTGCATCGTGTCATGTTTTGCAATATAATGTTCTATTACCAAATCAGTGGAAAATCCTAATATCACAGTAAGTTAACTCTTAAAATTATTTCTTAAGGAGTTAACGTATATCTATTGTATGGCTTGGTTTCTGCCTTTTTTTACCACTTCTTGGAGATTGTACGTAGGTGATATTCTTTGGCGTATTGCATCTGTAGACGAAACTTGGGTTGGTGAAATTATTACAATGGAAAAAGCGAGAAATCCTGTACAATTTGATATCGGCTAAAAATAAAACTGAATTAACAATATGCTACATTTCTTGAGCAATCATTGAAATAACCGATTTGCAAACAATGGAGACATAGAAAAAGTCATAGAACACAACCAAGTAGAAGAAAAGAAATAATGTTTTTTTTTTCATTTATAATCATTATTATAGACAACCTAATGCGGCTATGAGAGGGAAAAATTTGTAGAAACACTAAAAAACAAGATCAGCTTTTTGAGAAAAGATAAGATATTTACAACAGATTTTGATTATATCTAACTGTTGTGTAGATCGTGAGTATTTCCACAATCTTCGTGAGTCGCCTGTAATGCTTCGCAATTGCTCGAATTCGAGCAACAGGTACACTAGTGTTAGTTAATTTACAAAGAAAGTGTAGAATAAATCTTTAACATATGTTTTGAAATCAAAAAGCAGACAAATAAAACAAAGCAGAAGTTTTCCATTTAATCTTGAATCTTTTATTTAGTCAATGTGGTTATCTCATGTTAAACATTCCTTCAACATTCCTACAAGCCACTAGTATACATGAATATGTATATTATATATATATATATATATATATATATATACTATAATATACTATAATAATAATAGAAATAACCTTCAAATTAGAAGAAAATACTTCGATATTTTTTTAGCCATTTAAGTTCAATCCTTTTTTTTGCCTACTCCCATGATTCTTCTACTTATCACTCGCTTAACTAATTTATATAAAAATAGATATTTTTGATAATTTTCACAGTAACATAATTCATTTCATCATTCTAAGACGTAACCGACGTAACTAAATATTCTTGATTATCATAGGTAACGTTATCCGTGGTTTTATATATAGTATACAGTACATTTCAGAATTAACTGGCAAATAAGTAATCCAAATGTTAACATTGCGTACTGGCTTAATGATAAATCGCAATCAGCTGTATTGAAGTAAACATAAATCTGCAGTAAAAGGCTTCTAATGCTATTCTTATGGAGAACATTTTACGTTATATCTCGTTTTCTGGTAACTTTATGGGAATTAATTCTGCTAATTTCTCGAGTCCCTGGGTCAAGACCTTTCATTTAAGAGCTCTCCCACTTTTCTGCGACTTACCAGACGTCCACAATTTTCTGGAACAGATTTTGTCTTTATATAAGGAAGGATATATATTTTTTAACATGTTCGCTGCTACGGACGTTCCGGAACGTCAGCCGGGCCACGGCGCCAGGAGCTAGGAACGTTCCGGAACATCACCGTTCATTGCTATTTAACGTTTCCATGGATAAGCTAGCTCATCACAAGCGTCCTATATTTCTTTGCAGCTCGTGGGGACATACTTTTGTGACAATAAAAAATACAGTTTCCCAAAATCATCACCAGGGTCGTTTGGAACAGGGCTTTGTCCCACCTCTTTCCTGCTAGATAGCGACACTACTTTACCAACTGCAACCTGGGTTGTGCTGCTGCTATCTATCAGAAACACTTAGTACTATGTCCAAAGCCAGTTTTATTGCAGAACATTGCCATCCAGTATAACTACTGTTGTTTTTACTGTAATTTAGTGTATCGGCGTCAATGTTTTGCAGCGGCGAGCGTTATAGTTCAGCTCCTGGCGCTGTCCTGGCATCTCGGTCAGCAGCAAACGTGTTAAGAAGTTGGCTGCCTCTTTTAACCTTGCATTTGCCCGTCCACATAGAGACTAACTGCCTGTGCGTTGAACGTATCCAGCAAAGCAAAGGGTGAGCCGGTACAGTACGAAGGTGAAGTGTACTGATAAAATGTTTGTGGCAGTGACCAGGACCCGAACCCACGACATCGTTGCCTTGGGTCCGAAAGTCAGTGACGCTATCGACTCACCCATGCTAGCTTTATTATTCTAGCTGTGTACCCGTTCTTCGTTCGGGTTGAATAAAATATACAGTGCAAACAATACAATGAGGATTATCATTACGTCTAGTAAAAGTTCAAGCATTTATTTAACGGTTATAATAAAAGTTACACCATTAAACATAGTGATAATAATATGACATTTTTACAAAAAAATACAATAAAACATTTAAATTATAAGTGGTTTTTAATAACATAAAAATAACCAAAAACATTATAATAACAAACAATAATAAACAAGCAATAACAAACTGTATTTTTGATTAAAATGTGAAATTCTATAGATCAGATGTTTTAACCAAGCAAGAAGCTTTGGAGATCCTAAAACAGGCTAAAGAAGGCAAACAGAAGAGAGAAGAGATAATAAAGACTGAGGGCTACCCTGCATACACCACCCAGGCTGGTAAGTAGGAAGAACACCCCTAGCTGAACACATAACATTAGTAAACAACATTTTGAATCCAACAATGCATTGTTTTTTACAACAAGTTTTTAGGACATCTGGTTTGGTTTGGTAAGAACATTTTCCTAGCACCATGCTAACGGGTGGAAATTAAAAAAATGTAAGTTTTCAAAAAAAGCACTTTAGATTTTTTTTTACACTTTTTACAATTTTTTTAAATTTCATTGGCATTTGAAGTTTCATAAAATGTCCGTGGTAATGCAATATTTTTGGTGGTTTTAGCGAACTTCCCTATAGGGAAGTACCGCTATTACCGTAGGTGGCATGGTAAGACCTAGGCCCGGACAGTGACGGACCTAGAACAGTCACAAGGGGGGGGGGCGAACCGGGGGGTACGGGGGTACCCCCTTGAACATTTTGTGTAAATTAAGTCACCAAAACGGCAGTTTTATACCATTTCTTTGTCCAAAGTAAGTGTGACAAATTATTTTACACAATGTGTATGCACTACTGTATTATATGCAGTACAAAATATATGTATATATGTATGCCCGAGGGGGAGGGACGGTCGCCCCCTCTCTGGATCCGCCACTGGGCCCGGGTCTGTTTTCATTTTGATGTCCCCAGAAGCCAAAAACACCATTCGTTCAAATTTGTATATATGTATATACATATATATATATATATACATATAAAATATCCATATATATTTTATAATAACGTACAGTAAATATACATATAAAATCGTAGTGGTTATTGCTACTATTTTGATATGAAAATACATTATTTAAAACTAAGTACCCTTTTTTTAAATCATTTTATTCAACAACGACTAGTTTCAACAATTATGCCATAGTCATGTTTTTTGTTTTTATATCTAACAAATACAATAAACATTTTATCTAAAAAATAAATAAAATCATATGATTATGGTTTTGATGACTTTAGATTTCTTCTGTTTTAAATTGAGAGAAAAAGTTATTATACAGGGTGATTACTGGGAAACGAATGTTTTTGACTTGCGTAGTATACAAGGAATATCTTTCGGCTATGGCCAGAAGTTGTTTCGCTGTGGAGGGGTAAGTGTACAGTTTCAGTTGTAGCCGAGATGTGGAACCTTGAGCATCGTACGCTGTCATGTGACGATATTACGCAAATGGTGAATCAGTCGCTCAGACTCAGCGAGACTTTCATACACATTTTAACATGGTGCTATCCCTGATCATAACACGATATTGAGTTCGTTACATAATGTTAACACAACTGGATCTTTGTTTAAGAAGAAACCTCCTGGACTGGTAAGGACAGTTAGTACCCCTGAGACAGTTAAAAGACTGTGCCTTGCAACAGTTCAGAGCCCGAGCCGCTCAATTCGGTAACGGGCATCTGCTCTCGGACTTTTGGTCCTTTTTTTAAGACAACGACAGCAGAGCAGTGACAGTGAATGGACAAGGTACCTGGAAATGTTGTAAGCATATTTCTTGCCAGAACTGTGCCGTCAACGTATATAGAGATATGTAATGTATGGTTCCAACAAGATGGGGCAACAGCCCATACATTAGTATGGAATTCATTCGGCGAACATTCCCTAAAAGAGTGATCTCACGTTTTGGTTATTTCACTTGGCCTTCTCGCTCACTGGATCATACAATTCCAGATTTCTTTCTATTAGGTTTTTTGAAATCTAGAGTTTTAGAGATGTAATTTTAAAACGCTAAATTGTAAGTAATTTTGTTCTGAAATTGCATATTGTGTACACTGTTTTTCCACTCATAAATATATTTTTTGCCCTGAATCACCTGAGTACAAGTTATTTGAAAAACATGCGTTTCTCGGTAATCACCCTGCATATAATATAAAAACCATTTAAAACAGAAGAAATCTAAAGTCATCAAAACCTATGTAGTCATATGATTTTATTTATTTTTTTAGATAAAATGTTTATTGTATTTGTTAGATATAAAAACCACATGACTATGTCATAATTGTCGAAACTAGTCGTTGTTCAATAAAATGATTTTTAAAAAAGGTACTTAGTTTTAAATAACGTATTTTATAAATGTGTCCATGAACACGACAACTTGAATAATTTTTGTTCGATTTTGATGAAATTTGGTTTGAAGGTGTAAGGCGGTGTTCGATTGATTGTTTGGGGGAGTAAAATATGAGATCATTACAAATTAGAGAGTGAGAAATAAGTAAAATTCGAAGGACCACCCGATTAGGTCGGGAACCATAGAGCTGGGAAACACCTTAATTAAATGAATGAATTAAAGAGAGTCACTCACCAATTTCCATTGTTATGTTAGGCTAGGGGAAGGCGTCGTGTCCAAGTTCGGGTGTTGCACAGAGGGATAAGTCACTAGGGATAGAGGGATCTTGATCTTGAATCAGTAGAGCGTTCACGCCAAAACGAGTGTCTTTCAAATAATTCTCTTCTGTCGCGGTAGACCGTTAACGATACGTCCACGTAGAAATGTCCTGAGAATCTGCTCACGAACGCGCACAAAGAAGTTCTAGAAGAGTAGGAGCACAGAGGGGAGAGTAATTTAAAACAATACAAGGGACTATAAAACACTGACTTTGATTTAAAGTAATAAAGGGACTTTACTTAAAATCTGAACAATGATACATAAGAGAGAGTTACAAAGAGATAATTAATCCAAACGCCTATAAGAGAAGCGTGGACAAAAAGAGAACACAGCAGTACGCTGTGCACGAGAACAAGAACTGAGGCAAACCGAGCTTTCCTGTGAGTACAGGTACGTTACAAGCGCTGGGAAATTCCGGTGCTGGCGGAAGTGACTCAGACTGGGCTTCGTCTATCTCTGTCTGCCTCACACAGATAAAACTAGATTACATTACGAAAAATTAAAACTCAAAATATTGATTTGTTGGTAGAAATTCTTATAACTAAAAATATTACTAATTAATATCTCTTATTGACTAAACATACCGGCCCCCTTGAAGCAACATTGGCTTCAACAAAACAACCACACTTGAAAAATCACAAACTCAGGAAACTTAACTAAAATCAGGGGGGTAGTCCATCAAGAGTTCAACTAGTCGATAGGGAGCGGGAACACTTTCACCGCAGGTCTCTTGAAGTGTCCAGAGGTAGTCTTGAGTTCAACCACTCGGACAATTCCGTCCTTGCCTGGATGAACAGCTGTGATTCTGGCAAGAGGCCATTGTAGGGTAGATGAAGGGGAGTGAAAGAGCACTAAGTCCCCAACTTTGAGATTTTCCTCTTCCTTTGACCACTTTGATCGTTGTTGAAGCATGTGGAGATATTCAATACTCCAACGTTTCCATAGACGTTGTTGGAGAGATTGTACCAGGTGGTAGTGTTTTAGTCTATTGATGGGGTATTCTGCCAGATCAGACTCTGGAACCGAAGCTAAGGGAGCCCCGATCAAAAAATGTCCTGGTGTGAGAGCAGCTAGATCAGCAGGATCGCCAGAAAGAGGGGTGAGAGGCCTGGAATTCAACATTGCCTCCACTTGAGTGGCTAAGGTGATGAGTTCTGGTAGTGCGAGAATCGTGTCTCCCATAACACGTTTGAAGTGGTATTTAGCACTTTTGACTGCTGCCTCCCATAATCCACCTTGGTGTGGAGCAGCAGGGGGATTGAAGTGGAAGTTAATTCCTCATTGTACTGCAAAACAGTTGATTTCTTGTTGGGCTGACAGTGAAGAGTTTGACTTGATGATACTTCGAAGAGCAGCATCGGCACCCACAAAGTTTGTACCGCAGTCGGAATATATGTCCGTGCAAAGTCCTCGGCGGGATACAAATCGGGTGAGTGCGGCTAGAAAACCATTTGTGGTGAGGTCAGTTGCAACCTCGATGTGCACAGCCTTCGTCACCATGCACAGGTACACTTTGATATGTTTGGAGAAACGGAGATTAAACACTTTAGCCGTAAGAGGTCCACAATAGTCTATTCCAACAGAGAGAAACGGACGGGCAGGAGTAACCCGTGAGAGAGGGAGATCACCCATTAAGGGAGTCTTGTTGCGTGGCTTAGCCTTGAAGCACTTTACGCACTTGAAGATCCGTGAACGTATGACAGTCCGTGCACTGAGGATCCAAACGCTTTCAGCCAATAGAGCTTGAGTGAGCTGTGGACCAGCGTGGAGATGAGTCACATGGTAGTGGTCGATAAGGAGGTTCACTACGTGGTGTTTCTTCGGAAGGAGTATCGGATGACGAGAGTCAAAAGGGAGGTTGGAGTTTTCTAGACGTCCGCCAACGCGGATAAGGCCGTCAGAATCAATGTAGGGTCTTAGGCGTTGGAGTTGAGTAGAACAATCACGGTTATTTTCGAGTGAGGTCAGGTCATTAGAGAAAGCAGATTGTTGAACAAGTCCAAAGATCTTCCGTCGAGCAGCGTTGATCTCGGATGGGGAGAGATATCCCGTGAGGTTATTAGCACTGCGACAGTTGTGTATGAAGCGCAGAACTAGAGCGAAGATGCGCTGAAGTTTGTTCCATGACGAGAACTTTGTTAGAATATCCCAGTCCTTCTGCGGGACGGCAGCTAGGACGACTAGCGGAGTCTTCTTGAGCTCATCGGACGATGAGAGGTCCCTAGGAACGAATTGCATTGAGGGCCATTCCTGTTGAGGGAGGCTGAGCCATGGTGGTCCAGTCCACCAGAGAGAGTGGTTCTTGAGCTGAGAGGCGGAAATACCTCGTGATGCACAATCAGCAAGGTTGTCATTTACTGCGATATGACGCCATGAATCAGGTGATACCAGTTCTTGAATCTGGGAAACCCGGTTTGAGACATATGTCTTAAGCCTATAAGGCGGAGTTCGTAGCCATGTGAGGACTATTGTTGAGTCACACCATAAAAATGTTGTTTGAGGGGTGATTGTCTCCTTAAAGATTGACTGACAATGAGTTGTTAACTTAGCGAGCAGATGCGCTCCACAAAGCTCGAGTCGAGGAAGTGTTACTCGTTTCAGAGGAGCAACGCGAGTTTTTGCCATTAT